CTTAGTTCCCCAAACAGGGACTGAACCCATTTACCCTGCAGTGGAAGGCAGAGTCCTAACCACTGGAAAACCAGGGAAGTCCCTATCTCATGCTTTTAAAATCCCTATTTTTAACGTAGATCTTATCATATACCTTACTAATACATTAGCCCAGTAGTACACGTGCATTGCAGACCCTATGGGATGACCACCCAACAGCCATTCCATTCCCACCTCCCTTTTCCCTTGTTACCTGGTAACTTCTCAGACTCCTCTGTGACCCACGAAGCCATGCGACCCAGTGCTGGACAAGGAGGCATAAGGACACCTTCACCAGAGGTTTCTGGAAAAGACACTTTGTTTCTTAGAAAGCAGAAGGTGCCAGAGCATGGCAGGCTGGCACTGCCCCTGCCCCACCTTGTCCTACTGAGAAGGCAGACACCATGTTAACACATGACCTTGAAGAGGCAGACTTGAGGGCAAATGCCAGCATAATAAGGATGCGGGAACTTCAGGAAGCCAGACGGAGCCCAGCCCTTAATGACATCCGTGATCTGATGCATCAAGCTGAGCCCGCCCTCCCCAGACAGTCAAGGTGCTCAAGTCAGCCGTCGCCGCCTGGGTTTTCAGTTACGTACAGCTCCACACGTGCAGACTAACAGGCGTGAGTCTGTAATTGTTCAGTCAGCAAGCATGCATCTACTAGGAGTGGATGCTCAAAACGTTTTATGAGTAGAGTCACGTGACAGGGACCATGAATGCATGCACTTTATGGTTCTCGGGGGGCAGGGGTGCCGATGAGTAGCGGCCAAATGATGAACTCTCTGTTCCACTCTCTGGAAGCCTGGAGGGATGAAGGGTAGTTGGAAGTATATTTGTCAACCGGCCCTCAGAAGAATCCAATCTAGACAATTTGCCAGGAGCTTGGAATTTTCAGGTGTTCTCCTCCTTCAGTGGTTTCACTTGGCTATAGGAACTAACAGAAGAAACTCTGCAATGTGTTTGTTCTCTAGAATTCTCAGCAGGTTCAAGGGACCCAGAGAGGTGCCTGCCTGGGGTAGCTCTCATGACCCAGGCCCAGCATATACAAACTATGAGAGCTGAAAACCGTGAGGAAAGGGCCCTCTACATTCCAAGTGAGTGAGCAGGAAGGGGTGCAGGAGAGACTGTGTATCACCAGAAATGGGGTCCCTGAATCAGGAGTGACTCAGCCTGGCTGCAAACAGAAAACCTATAGCAGTGGCTTAAACAAAATAGAAGGTAATTTCTCTCATGTAAAAGAAATCTGAAGGTAGGAAGTCTGGGTTGGCATAGGAGTTCTCTGGTGATCTAAGACCCAGGACCCATCTCTACTTCTGCTTTACCGTCGTAGTACATGGCTTTTACCTTCAAGGTCACCTCATTGTCCAGAATGGCCACTGAGCTCCAGCCATTATCACTGAATTCCAGGCAGTGAGATAAGGTAAAAAGGGCCCATGCCCCCCTTTTAAGGAGTTTTCCTGAAGTTCCTGCCTACAAACCACAGCTGCAAGTGAGGCTAGGAATGTTTCTTTAGCCTGAGCACAATGCTACCTTGAATAAAATGGAGGGTGTGTTGCTAAGGAAGAAGGGGGAATGGATTTATGGTGGCATCTAGCAGCCTCTGCCCTAGTCTCCAAAGGCAAGGGGGCCGCTCGGATCAAAGAAGAGACGATGGGACCAGAAATCAAAAGATATGCTCTGTCCTTTATGAGTATATGAGTGAAAGTTGCTCAGTTGTGTCTGACTCTTTGTGACCCCATGGACTAGGCAGTCCATGGAATTCCCCAGGCCAAGATACTGGAGAGGGTAGCCTTTCCCTTCTCCAGGGGATCGTCCCAACCCAGGAATCAAACCCAGGTCTCCCACATTGCAGGTGGATTCTTTACCAACTAAGCCACAAGGGAAGCCCAAGAATACTGGAGTGGGTACCTATCCCTTCTTCAGCAGGTCTTCCCGGCCCAGGAATCGAACCAGGGTCTCCTGCATTGCAGGCGGATTCTTTAGCAACTGAGCTGTCAGGATAGCCCAAAAGATCACAGGGGCAGTCATCCCTCGGTGGGCTCAAACCACCTAACTTTCGGTTAACAGCCGAACAAGCGAACCGACTGCGCCACATAGACTCTTATGAGTACACGACCTTGGGTAAATCCCCAAACCTCCCTGAGCCTCAGCCCCAAACCGAGGACTATGGGAGGGTCAACTGATATGCTGCTGTGAAAGGGTTTCATAAACCATAAACACTATTCCCACATTGAGGACTTATGTTGCTACTACTGCTGTTGTTAACACCAAGAGCGGCTGACTGTTTTCTGTGGGGAGAAAGGCAGATGGGGACGGAAGGAGCAGGAGGACAGCATTTACTAGGACAAAGAGAAAGAGACGCAGCTGCTTTGTTCACCAAATACACATGAGATATACCTGTGCAAGCAGGAGTCTGTTTCCCCAGGGCCACGTGCCCCAGGCCATGTAAAAACCTGGAGTCTGGCAGAGGCCCAGGCTGCCTTCAACCCTCAGGGCCCTAGACAGGCAGACAAACAAACACACACAAACACGAACCTGGGGGAAGCCCAAACACGCGGGAGAAAGGGGAAGGCCTCCTGGAGCAGAAACCAAGCTCTGGGTCCCCACAGGGCCAAAATAGCTTGCTGATTGAGTCAACAGGCCAACACTTTGGTCAAGCTGCTGGGGAGAGAAACCGAAACCCCAGCCAGATCTATTATTTAGCAATTTGTCACCAGGCATAAATATAAATTATCCCCCCCCCCCAGACCCCACCTGCCAGGTTGTTTGGTGCCAGGAGTCACCTTGGGTCAGCCAGGGCCAAGTCAGGCATTTGTATCAGCTCTCCTCACAGCGTCCGGGAGGCCAGCTGGGCAGTGGGCTCCCGATACTGGAGGAAGGGGCAACCTTTTCTCTAGACCCCCCAGGCCCCAAGGCCTCGCAGGCAACTCCCCAAGGGGCTGCCAACAGTCCTTCCCTGATGTTGGGGGCAGTCAGATCTCAGGGGTGCACTGGAAGAATTCTGGTGACACTCAGTCCATCCACAAGTATTTGCTGGGTGCCTACTATATACCTGTAAATCCGGGAGTGGGGCGGGCTGGTGGGTTCTGCTCCACAGGCTGTGAGTTTGAGGATCAGGGCCTCTCCTTGTTGCTGGGGCGTACCTCCCTCCCCTCCAGGTCCCTGGCAGCGTGAGCTGTGGAAAGTCGGCTATTTAGATTTCAAGACTAATTGGTTACAGCTCATGGGGCCTGGGGGTGGGGAGGGGGAGGTGGGAGCAGTACAAATTGCAAGCAGCGTAGAGAATTACAAATCTGGCTTCGTAGTCTCCCTGGCTTGGCACAGATTAAGCGTATAAATCAGGCTTCTGTAGCTTGACTTTCTGGTTCACCATTCCCATTCACCATTCAGGACATGAACAAGGATCTTTTTTAAAAAAATGTTTTGTTGAAGTAAACATATATATAGAAAAGAACACACATGATAAGTGTAAAATAGCCTGGAGAATTTTCCCAAAGTGACCACAATCAGGTAACAGCATCTAGATCAGTTACCAAGTACACTGCCAGCCCCCAGAAATCCACTTGTGCACTCTCCAATGATCATTCCCCAAGGGGAACCCTATCCTGACCTCGAGCACCATAGATTCATTTTGCCTGTTTTTGAACTTTGCATAAATGGAATCATACAGGACATTCTCTTTCGTGTCTGGCTTCTTTCACTCAACATCACGTCTGTCAGATCCACCCAGATTGTTGTGTGTGGTTGTCATTTATTCTCAAGACTGCCTAGCGTCCCAGTATGTGAACAGACAATACTTCACCCATTCTATTGTAGATGGACATTTGAGCTGTGTCCAGTTAGGAACTATCACAAAAATGCTGCTAAAAACAGAATTTTCACAAACAGGTTCCCCTCATCCCCTGCTTTTTTAAAAAGATCTTTACTGTGGTAAAATACATATAATATTTGCCATTTTAACTATTTTTAAGTGCATGACTCATGGCATAACTCATGAAGTATCATCACACTGCTATGCAACCATCACCACTATCTGTTTCCAAAAGGTTTTCATCACCTCGAACAGAAAATATGTACCCAAAGCAATAACTGGGCATCCCTTGTGGCTCAGCTGGTAAAGAATCTGCCTGCAATGTGGAGGACCTGGGTTTGATCCCTGGGTTAGAAAGATCCCCTGGAGAAGGGAAAGGCTACCCACTCCTGTATGCTGGCCTGGAGAATTCCACGGACTGTATAGTCCATGGGGTTGCAAAGAGCCTCACACGACTGAGTGACTTTCACTTTCACTTTTCCCAGGTGGCGCTAGTGGTAAAGAATCCACGTGCCAATGTAGGAGATGCAAGAGACGTGGGTTTGACCTGAGTCAGGAAGATCCCCTGGAGGAAACAGCAACCCACTCCAATGTTCTTGCCTCAGAAATTCCATGGACAGAGGAGCCTGGAGGGCTAGAGTCCATAGGGAGTCAGACCCAACTGCACATGAGCAGTAACTATCCATTTCTCCTCCCCTCAGCCCCTGGTAACTTCTGTTCTATTAATACTTTTTGTCTTTATGAATTTGTCTACTCTAGGAGCCTCATACAAGTGGAATCGTACAGGATTTATCCTTTTGTGCCTGACTTCTTTTACTAGGCATAATCTTTTCAAGGTTCATCCGTGTTGTAGCATGGATCAGAATTTTGTTCCTTTTGATAACTGAATAATATTCTATTGTATGGATATATCACGTTTTAACCATTCATCTATTGATAGATATTTGGGTTGTTTCCACCTTTGACTGTTGTACATAATGCTGCAATGAACATTGCCATGCAAATATCTTTTTGACCTGAAGCCTTTAGCTGAGGACCTGCTGCAGGTCCTCAGAGATGGGTACCCATCCATCCCTTAGTAGATCGTCATATGAATCAAATGGGTCATTGTTTTTAGGCTAGAAATGAGGAAACTGAGGTTCAGAGAAGTCAAGGACCTTTCCCAAGGCTAAGGGGCTAATCTGAGTGGCTGAATGTGTGTGTGCATATGTGTGCTCAGTTGTTCAGCAGTGTCTGACTCTTTGCGACCCCATGGGCTGCAGCCCGCCAGGCTCCTCTGTCCATAGCATTCTCCAGGCAAGAATACTGGAGTGGGTTGCCATTTCCTCCTCCAGCAGATCTTCCAAACCCAAGGATTCAACCTGTGTCTCTTGTCCCCTGCATTGCCAGGTGGATTCTTTACCACCGTGCCACCAAGTAGCTGAGACCAGGGCTCAGTCCAGACGGTGACCCCCAAGTCCAGTGTTATTCCCATCCCTACTCCTACCCCATCCCACCCTCCCACACACCTCCCTGTTGCTTCTCTCTTGCAATTCTCCAGTCACAGTGGAAGTTAGAGGACTTTGGGTTGCAGCCTAGTTCTTGCTTTAGTTCCAGGTAGAAAATTTTTCCCTTGGAGATGCTAAACCCCAACTTGGGCTTTCTGGAAGCATTTTCCTTTCTCCTGGCAAACAGCCCAGGGCAAGGGAATGGGAGAGGCTTCTTGGCCCTCTTGACTCTACCTTTAAACTTTGTGCTCTAGTTTTTTTTTGTTTTTTAAGCTATAAGTTTTGTCACATCACATCCTGCCCCCAGGCCCAGAGCTCAGGCTATATTTCTAGTTCCCCTCTTGGTAAGGACAGCAGAATATGGAAGACCTAATCGGATTTTCCATTCAAAGGACGTGGAGAGAACCACTCACTCAAATGTCCTCTTCCTCTGCCCTGCCGTAGTAAATTCGGGTGACAGATAACCTACTGTGTGTTGGACAGTAAGTGGTCAAACTTGTCCCTTAGGTCCCTGTGCTCAGGGTGGCCCCGGGGTGGGGTGGGGAGCAGAAGCAGGACACAGGCTGAGAGAGGCAGAATGATCAAGTCCATTAAGTAGGATGCCTCCAGAACAGGAACGCCCCCAGGGCTCTGGAGGAAGGACGTGGCTGTTGGAGTCGGGGCGGGGCGCTTCCCAACAGTGCCTGCTGAAGGCCCTGTCGTTCACCACGCAAATAGTGCTTTTTTACACGCCATGTAAAGTGCCAGGCACAGCGTTAGGCCCCAGGGCGAAGAAGCCACGAACACGGACAGCTCCCAGGGCGGGTCCAAGCCACTCTTGGTCTCTACAATGACGCACAATTCTGTGCACAAATTCTGCAGCCCGCTGGGCGCGAGCTCCCAGCCCCCTTGCACGTACCGCTCGCCCCTGCGCTCAGCTTCCGGCCTCTTGCCTACTGTCAGGGCTGACGAGCGGCCAGGGGGTCCAAGGCGCGGCCCTGGGGGTGACCAGCCGGGGTCCCCCTCCCCCGGGCCTCGCTGTCTGCACCGCCTCTGCCCCTGACCGGCCGACAAGGCGCCTTTCAGGAGCCTCCGCCCCCCCTGGAAAATCCCCGCGCGGTCTCCGGGGCGGGCGGTGTCTGCCGCCCTCCAGGTGAGGGATTCCGCGTCCCCGACGCGGTGCCGGGGCAGCGCGCCCGCAGGCGCCGGGACCCGCCGGGCCGCCAGCCGCTCGCCGCCCGGGCGCGCGCAGCCTCCGCCGCCAGCCCGCGGGGAGCCGAGCCAAAAGCTCCGCGGCGGAAAGTCCACTGCCTCCTCCGCAGCTCAGCCCGCTGAATTAAACATTTTAAAGTTTCATTTAAACATATGCGTACCTCTACATTTATGAATGTTGCAATTAAGTACATATACTGTTTGGTCGTATCACACATTATGTTCAAGTCTGCTCTTTTTTTCTTTTCCTTTTTTTTTTCTTCACTCTTCATTGGTCCCCACCCTAGAAGCATCTTCATCCCAGGAAACCCGTATTAAGAACCTAAAACGGACCTCCCTATATTCTTCTCCCTGTTCATATAAGCATGGGGCTTTCCATGTGGCTCAGTGGTAAAGAATCTGTCTGCCAGTACAGCAGACTCGGGTTCCATCCTTGGGTGGGGAAGATCCCCTGGAGTACGAGAGGGCAACCCACTCCAGTATTCTTGCCTGGAAAATTCCATGGACAGAGGAGCCTGGCAGGCTACAATTCATGGGGTAGCAAAGTGGTAGACACAACTGCGACCTCAGCGAGGGAGCCTATGCAGATCTCTCTCTGTATATATAGTTAGGTATACATGAATGCATGTAAATAGCATCCTGTTGAATATATTTTTCTTTATCATAGGAACTGTAGTGGTTGTAGCAGTTTTTTTAAAAAAAATATTGTTGTTGTTATTTATCTACAATAAAACTCACCTTTATTAATGTATCAAACTACCCCCTTCTGACAGTCATCGCCTGTGTTTTCTGCTTTCTGCCGCTGTGAGCGGTGATGTGTTAAAACTAATGTTATATAGCTGCATGTGCCCAGAAGTGGGATTGCTGCGACGATGTGCCCCTGGTTTTTAGAAGATACGGAAGGCTGCTTTTGCAAAATGCCTAACACCTAGCGTCCCCATCAACAATGAATGAGGATGCCCTTTTCCCCACATAGGTGGACGGCGCTTGGTGGTTTCCATCAGTTGCCTGGGACCATCGTGAAGTATCTGCCTGTTACTTTCATTTCTACTTGCCTGACTCCTTAATGAGCTGAAAATGAGCATATTTTCAGATGCTTGGCGGCCACTTGCTTTGTTTTTCCAAAAACTTCATCCTCTTGGTACATCTTGATATACTTTAAGCACAGAAAATACCCTTTGCCTGGAAAGACTGGAGAAGGATGTGCTAGGATTAACGGAATGGTCTAGTTAGTAGAGGGGCTTCCCAGGTGGCGCAGGAATAAAGAATCTGCCTGCCAATGCAAGAGATGTGGGTTCCATCACTGGGTGGGTAAGATCCCCTGGAGGAGCAAATGGCAACCCACTCTAATATTCTTGCCGGAGAAATTCCATGGACAGAGGAGCCTGGTCGGCTACAGTCCACCAGGTCGCAAAGACTCAGACACAGCTGAGCAACTGAGCATGTGTGCACTCGTTAGTAGATAGTTCCCTTGTTTGTCACATCCAATTATGAGCTTTCATAAGATGTGACCATAAGCAGATATATGTAGTAATAGGGCTGTAACAAATATAAGAGGCATGTGGGGAAAGGAAAGTGAGTGGGCTTTGGGGTCACTTGCTAGCTCTGTGCTATTGAACAAGTCAACTAACCCCCCTGAGCCTCAGTTAGCTCATCTGTGAAACAGAGATAATGATGATTCTTTTATAATTGTTGAAAAGCTTGACAGTAATTTATGTAAAGAACCTGGGGCGTAGTAGATGGTCAGTAAATGGTAGTCAATTATGATAAGCATAACTTTAATTTTCCCTCCGGTGCTTAAGTAGGACTTTCAGAGGCCTAGGTTTAGCTTCAGTGTCAATCAGCATTGCATGGCTCTGGGTAAAACCGGGATTATTTAAATTTCCTGTGTAATCAGACACATATAAACCAAGGTTTTGCAGCCTCATCACTATTCACAAAGAATAGGATAATTCTTTGTTGTGGGGGGCTGTCCTGTGCTTTGCGGAATGTTTAGCAGTATCTGTGGCCTCTACCCACTAAATGTCAATAGCAATCCTACCCCCCCAGTCATAACAATCAAAAATGTTCTCAGGCCTGGTCACATGTCCCCTGCAGGGCAAAAATTGCCCATGTGGTTCAGAACCACAGATCTAAATCCTCTGGGAGAAACTTCTTGAGGGTTTACATAGCATGAGGAGAGGCCTCTCCTGTTCCCCTGCTCCCTCGCCACAGGGCAGCCCCCGACTCTTCAGTTGCAGAATTCCCCAAATGGGATCTAAATGTCAGCCAGGTCTGAGCAGGGTGCATCTGGGGGAAGAAGAGCAGATGGAGGTGTCTTCCCTGTGGGTGTCCATGAAATGCTCAACCTGGGTGCAGGACAGAATCAGGCTGTATTTGTATTTAACAGGTACCCGAAGCTGCCCCAAGGTCAGAAATGCAGTGTGTGCCCTCAAAGACCCTCCAGACTGACTGGGATGCTGGGGGAGCCTAGATGAGAACGCAGTGAGAATGGACAAATGACAGTCTGTAATTTTTTTCTTTTGCAAGCTGCTCTTTCTTCTCTTTCCCTAATGCTATATTCTTGACCCAGGATCAGCTATGGGCTTTCACCTGAGCCACAGTTTTCTTTTCTCTCTCTGGCTGACTAGAGAACCTACGTTTTCAGTCCTTCCTTCATATATGTTCCAGTTCTCTGTTTGGAATAGGATGTTTCATCCTCACTGTAGACTCTTCATGCCCCTAAACACAGTTCCTTATCTTTCCTGCTAACTCAATTTCAAGTCAACACATATGTGTTGAGTGCCATTGCTTAAGCTGCTGGGAGGTTCCCAATGTCAGTCCTTCCCTCCTTCACTGGTAACAGCCCTGAGCAACATGCCCATCTCCATCTCCCTTGATGCTTAGTGTAGCCAGGTGACTAAGTTTTGGTTACTGAGAGGCAAGCAGAGGTTGACAGAGGATTTCTAGGTAGGTTCCTTGAAAGGGTGAAGGGCGTACACCTTTTTTGTCTTTCTGTCCTCCTTCCTTCTCTCTTTCTGGAATTCAGATGTAATGAGTGGAACTCCAGTAGCTATTTTGGGCCATGAGGAGAACGTGAGGATGACAGAGCAGAAAGATAGAAGGATCTCAGTGATTGGAACTGCTGCACCAGCCCTAGAGCTGTGGGCTTTTATGTGAGAGAAGAAACTCCATGTACTTAGGCCACTGTGAATGGACTTTAATCAGCAAGCAAATACAATTCTGAGGCAAATACAATAACTGAGACAAATGGCCCTTCCCAAGTCCAAGCATCTGTCCTTGCCTTTTACCAAGTCTCCCCTGTCCTTAGGCTGAATACTTTGGAATTGTCATGAATTCCTACACCTCTAGCCAGTCAGCCACCATGACCTGTCAACTTTCTACACTGACTAACTGCTGTATCTGTCTTTTCCTTTTCATCTTTCTCAGCATGTGTTCTAAGCTAGAGGTTTGGTGATGCTGAGCAGGATTCAGAGAATTCAGAGACACATAGAACTCACGACTGGGATGCATAACTAGGCAGGAGTCACCCCTGGCAACATGCATGGAGGTGGTAACAGCCGTTTTAACAGGGAGGACTCTGGTTTACCCTATGCATCCAGAACTAGCCCAGTACCCGACACATAGTAGGCACTCAAATAGCTGGGGGATTAATATGTTGAAGGATTAAGTGATTGACTAATTAACTTGACATACACACGCATACCTGCGTAGATAGGGCCTCTACTTTTGCCTTTCATGTATATACACATTACCTTTCATGATGGAGACACCAGGTTACAAAGAAAACCCTCAA